ACTCAGCTCATTGCATGGAGAGCAAAGGGAGCTTTGTTTGTTGAGTTTCTGATATGCTCAAGGGATGTGAAAATTGAATAGAAATCTTGCTGGCTCTGCTATTGCTTTATGATTGACTCTGAAAATCCTGTTCTGTGGAGTTGCAGAGGGTAAACTTTACTTCATTTACTGTTCATTGGATTAACGAGTTCATTGATAGTTAGCTTGTAGGGTTCCCAAAGAGGAAAGCAATCAGCCACATTTTGTCAGAACAAAGTCCTCTAATGTGCTTTAATAAGACAGAGTAAAAATTTAACCTGTCAGTCACCTTTTGCTGCAGAATGTAATCTGAATACTAAACCATCCTGTATTCTGTGTTTTTTTGAAACTCGGTGCTCAGGAGAAATAGAGGGGTTTTCTCTGAGGTCCTACAGTAGCTTGAAGCGTGTGCTGGGGGGAGGCTGGCTGCTGGATGGTGGCCTGGAGGACCAGATGAGGGGCATGCATTTCCCTATGCTGATCCATCTTGCGGTGCAAAGTGTGTGTCCTGAAATCTGGAGCATAAGCTTGATTTCAAAAATTTTTGTAGCCTGAAGGAAATTGGTCTTTAAAAGCTCCATGCAAAAATTTCACCTCTTTTTCTTGGCTGCTTGCCACTCTCTGTCTTCTATAGGCTATGAAGATGCTAACTGAATGCAGTGCCTCGTATTCTTGAGTCTTTATTTCCTCAAGCATTTATTTGTTAGGAAAGAGGCTGTTCAGAGTTCAGCATCTCTTTTGATCTCTCTGTCATAAGGCCTTCCGGAATGCTTATACAGAAGCATGGGACTGAAGCTGAAGAAACACTAAAGGTGGGGTAGGAGCTTGCTTGCTGTGCAGTCTCCAAGTCTTCTGCTCTGCTGGAGGGACAGCAAGGAGGCTGTGTCCTTTTTCTGAGGCTGAGCAGAAAGCGTTTCTGTTTGTCTTGGGCCTTTGTTAAATGCAGGAAACTTGAGTCCTGTACAATGTTAACTTCCCAGGAGTCCTTAAATACACAAACCAAGCAGTGAAAGGGAATTGTCTTTTCTTCTTTTAGCATTCCGCTCCCCCCCATGATGTACATATTCAGTAATGTACTCAGCTGGGAAAAGGGAATGGTGAGAACACCCTCGGACTTCATTTCTTTTGCCCTATCGCTGCCCTCCCATAGACCACTCCAAACAGCTGTCCAGTTGCCCCAGTTTGTAAAAGGGAGACAAGGATATTTCTTCTGTTCCCAGAGATTCCTTTTTTCTTTTAAGACTCATTAGTTCCTTTAATCAGTTGAAGAGCTCCAAGTGAATGCAACACAGTAGGATTATTAATGGAAGTTTTGTGTGGGATAGCAGGGAGCCTAGATCTAAACCATCAAACCAGGTGAGGGTAGTGATGATTGCTAACTAGGTCCCGTTGCCTGCTTTGAAAGTAAAGCAAGCCCTGCAACTTTGTAGGAGTTTTATTGCTTTAAAATACACCCTGGCAATGCAAATAGGGTCTAGTAATGTCAGTTTTATTGTTGTGATTGCATCTGTATAGGAAGCCACTTCACTGTTTGCAAATAATTCATTAATTCACAGGTGTAATAATCCATAATAATCCAGCCCGTCGCCCCATGCAAGGAGAGGTGAACACCGTGTAGTCAATCCTTGCTGCTCTCAGTAAGCTTTCAGTCTTTCCCATGGCCTTACACAGGAATTGCTGCAGTGGACTTACTGGGCAGTGCCAGGCCTGGCTTTCAAGGTGTCTAGCAAAGACTCAGCATCTTGTATGTATTGTACCTCTGCAGCAGGAGGCCTGTGCGTATGCAGGGAGGATTAAGAACATGATTAGAAAGTTGTAGACTGGAGAAATGTGCCCACTGTTCCACTTCTAGTGGGAAGCAAACAGGAGCTGGGACTTGACAACTCTACTCTACCTTGGCCAGCCATAGCTATCAATCTGTCACTGCTCTGCCTTGGCTGCTCCACCATGAAGGAGGCAGTCTCCTTCATCCCTCTGCGAGCTCCTTCTCCCAGCTGTCTAGCATCTCCTAGCCTGAAGAGTATCAGAAATACTGCTCCAAAAGGCCATTTATTTAACCTGATATTTTTATCACTAAAAATCAATACGCATACAGTATTTGTTTAAAACTTTGTCTCTGATGGCGTAGTGCTCTGGGAAAGCTCACAGGGTGCACATGGTTAGTACAGCTGATTGAACTGAATGTGCATGGTATTGATACATCTGGACACTGCATCTGTCAGCTGTCATTAAGGCCTGGAAGTGGTGAATGTCTGAAGGTTCGATCCGTTAATGCCTGTGCACTCACATGTATTTGTATTGATGGGGTTTTGTCCTCTTTTTCTCTGTTAAATTGATCCCCAGGCTAGGGTTTGTTGCTCAGAACATTTGCTAGCTGTTCTCTATAAACTATGACTCACTGTCACCAGAATTTGAAGGCTAAGTGTCGTCTAATTGCTAACTTTCTTTCAGGTATTGCATCGAGCTTTTAGTGATGGAACTTACACTTCGCTGTAAATATACTTTTTTTCTTGTTATTTAAATACTTGCTAACTTAAAGCTTGGACAAATCTGTGATGGTTTCCCTCACTTCAAGTCATGGTTCAGTTCACTGGAAAAAGGTGATACTGTGATGAAGTATACAAAGGCACCAAACCATTAAGTCCTAAGTGGGGCACATTTGCAAACAACAGATGCACCTTTGCAATTGACACTTGACCTCCACAGGCCCTAGAGAACTCAGCTATAAAATCGAAATAATGCAGGAGCTGATGAAGAGACTGCCTCGGAGCTGAACTGCTTTGCAATTGTAGTTCTACTTGTATAAGAGATACACAAATTGGAAATAAATGCTTGCAGTTGTAATAAACACAGCAGTCAAAATATCTCCAAAGGCTGAAAGGATTCTGAGTGAGCAGCTGAGATGATTGAGTAATATAAATAAATGAAGAGCTGGTGAAAACAAAGCTGGATCTGAAAGCAGCATTTTCTCTTTGATTTTGTTGAAGGTGGATAAAGCAGAAGTTAGAGGTCTAAATGAGCCAAATGTCAGGCCCACTCACATTCTGTGAAAATAAGTCTGGGCACTTGCCAGTTTGTCCTTGTAAATTTATTGAGTGCTTTCTTGATGTTTTATTTCAAATGCATTTCCCTTTCCCTCAAGAAAAATCTGACATAATCAATATGCATGGTGTATAAAGCCGAGGGGGAAAATTGGAACTGAATTTCTCTTTAATACAGAGAAAGAGTCTATGAGAAAGTCTGCTGATGACCACTTTAATCGAAATATGCAGGAAATGCAGCCATTTTCATAGATAATTGATGAGACTTGGGGAAAAAAGGGAGAAGAGTTGAATGGTTATGATCATCCAAAAAGTCTTATTTTTTGTTGCTTCTCAATATTGTCTAACAATTGCTTCAAAAACATCCTCGGTGCATCCTATTTAGAAAAGGTATAATTAAGTCCTGGTCACTGCAATGACTTTTTTGCTGGTTTTAGCAAGTTGAGATGAGATTGTTTGGAACTACAGTGTGTTAATGCACTCTTGTGTTCACTGCTCACAGATGATCTGTTATAAAACAGAAGAAAACTGCAGTCTATCTCCTCCGTTTCTACCTACAGTTCAGCAGCATGGCAGTTTGCGTACCTGTGTGGCCAGTACAGGGAAAGCTTACTCCCCGGTCTGTTTTTTCGCAGGAGCCCTGCCTATGTTACTTCCATGGTCTGCTCCCTTTTTTTTTTTTTTTTTTTTTTGGCAGTCCCATGGCCTCTGCCTCTGATTTTGTGCACCTTATCTTTTAAGGTTATCTGAGAATGTGGGCTCATAGGAAAGTCCCAGTGCTTTTGGGCATGTCAGATTATAGAATGTGTGGGTGATAAAGAAGAAATAGAATAGTTTAGTGATTGGCCAAATTAGTATAGAATCATAATCTTGCTTGCTGTTGAGATACTTTACTTGGCAGTATTGTTATACCACTTTGAGGTGGAAAATTGTTAGATGAGGTCTATGCAGAAAAGGGAGCAGGATTTGTTTCTGGGTATTTTCATTTGTTTGTAAAGATTTCTTACTCTTTAAGTCCTGACACAGCGTATTGGAACTGTTAACTATGTAAACGTATCACCTAGATATCTTCCATAACAAAGGACAGTATTTATGAGCTGCCCTGCTAAACTGTCACATTTCCATTGTTGCTTGACATTTGTACTGTAACTCTTGTGGTCTGCTGCTTAATTCCTTTGTCTCTGACAGACACCCATTTAGGAGTCTTGGAAAATACAAAGTGGAGCCAGTTAACATTGAATGATCTTAAAACTAGGCTGAACTTTTGTTTTCATCGGGGAGGAAGATGATGCCATCAGCTAATTTGGTTGATCAATAGCCCTGCTTGCGATAAGGTTTCAAAGCTTGTGGCTAAAAGCTGATTGCACTGGATCCAAAATGAATTTGATCTATTGGTTTCCACAAATGTAGCATAGCCTAGGATGATGCTTCAGTGCTGATGCTTAACTAATTTTAATAATGCTGGCAGATTAGCCTGGAGCCTGCTGGAGGACACTGTAATACATGAACCCTTGGCAGCAGAGCACTTACTTAAGATGTTTTTTACAGTAGCATGGACCTGTCAGTCTCTAGCAAAGAGCAATCATAAAGGTTCATTATTCTGAGACTGGGAAGCATTACAGTCTTTGCGGAGCAAGTTTAATGACATCTTTCATTGATGCAAGCTTTGATCCTGGTTTCTGAAAGAGAGAGGTACTGGCAAGAAATTAGACTAGTTTGTTAGTTTTGGCTGGAGAAATAAATGTTACTGAAAAATGAGGAAAATTTCTGTGGCTGAAGTGCAAAAAAGTGTGCAAGCCATGTTTGTGATAAGCATTTGGGTATGCAGTTTCAGAAAGGATCCAGCCATATTTTTTCTTCATGCTGGGTGGGACCATATTCTGCTGGGAAGGTGGACTAAAATTTAACTGATCCTTTAATCTCTATTTCAGTGACTATATCATGGCTACGGGGCCAACAGAGGTCACACAGTCACCTGAAACAGGAGACACAGTTGAAGAGTGCACAGGTAAGCAGTTGTTCTCTGAATGTATAGCTGATTTGGAAGTCAAGATTTATTTTCGTCAGATCGGGGAGTTTGTAGTGACTTGTTTTGCAGTGTTGTTTTGTTTTTTGTAGTGTAAAAAAAATGCTGTGTGGTTTTGTCAGCTGGCAATATTAGGGGAAGAATCTTTTAATGTGCAGTACTGGAGGGTCGTAACCTGGTGGAGGATTTTTTTTTCCGATTCTGGCTTGGATTTTCAAAAACAGGACATTAGAGCTTGAAGGGCTGATTGTTGTGCCTGCTTTGATGGATCTTACAGAGCTGGGAGCTGAGCCTATTAGCCAGCTTCTGTCTGTGGGAGCTGTATCTGTACCCCCACTGCAGCCTCATTCTCTGCTTCTGGCCACAGACAACCATTTGTTACTTATTCTTTAATCTAGTGGCATGGGCTGATGCAAACAGTCATGACGGAATGGAATAATAGGCAAGAAAGAAAAATACCTTACTTATGCGAAAGAGTTGTCTTAATTAAAGGAAGTCCCTGTTGCCAGTGTTCAGACTATTCTTGAGGAGATAGGTGAATATGAAGAATAGCATCATGGCTGAGGCATTTCAGGAGAAATGACTGTCATATCACTTGATTTTTTTTTTTTTTTTTTTTCCCCCTCTTCTTTGGCTAATGTCTCACAATCGTCTTAAGTGTTTGTGTTTCAAAGGTATCTTGCTTTATCCTTTAGAAATAATATGTTTGCCACCATCAGAAGATTGGTAAAAGAGAGAAGCAAATGGCAAAGTGACTGTTAGTTGAACTCTGCATGGCAGATAGATAGGGGTGAAGAAAGTGTAATGATGGATGCTCAGCAGCGGCTGGTTTCTTAAATTTATAATCTGGTTTATCACATAGTCCAGTGCTATCCATGGCACACTGGTGAACTTGTGTGAAACCCACGCATGCAAATTTTGTACTTGGGTTCACTAGAAGATTCAGAAAATGGATCAAATTCTGACCCAGGTGACAGGGAAGGCAGGAGATGGCTTGATATCTTAAGTGTTGGCTCTAAAACCACCAGGAATATTTCTGTCTCTAACTGAACCAAAACTTAAAAAAGTTAAAGGCTGCTTTGCTATTGCTGAAGTATTCAAAAGACACTTGACTGGACCTGGATAAAGCCATTTCAGGATCTTTTGTTTACTTCCCATGTAATGTAGGATTGCCTCACCTCTTCCTCTTCATAGCTTTAATTGGCTCGTGATGTAAAGGCTCTAGGAGGCTTAAATTCCCAGCATTCACAGTCTAGTCAATTAGATTAATTTCTTGAGGTTTACCTTATTGTCTGACTAGTAGTAGAGGGCTTCCAGTGCATGCTGCGCCTTCTTGATGGCAGTAACCAGGTCACTGTCCAAAAACTGTCAGCACCCAATGTTAGCCTTACTGAATTCCATGATTTAATTGCCTTTCTGGCAACGTCAGGTATTTTTTATTAACCTAGAATCATGGTATTTTCCGAGAATCTTGTCTGTGGGGTTTTTTTATCATGTGTTTTTATTGGTGAAAGTATCTAGTCCTTGGATTTGAGAAAAAAATGGAAAATGTGTCCTGAATGCCCCTTAGGAAGTCAGAGAGCATAGGAGATCCCACAATTAACTGTTTAATTTGAATATGATGAGCTCCCAAATCAGAGCTTTTTTTTTCCCTATGCTTTTTACAGTCTCAATTTGGCACTGGAAAAAGCATCTTTTTCTCTTCTATCTTGTTATGGGGAAGAACCATGCAAAGAGCAGAAAGACGTGCATTAATTCTCTCTGTGCACAGCAGAAACAATGAAATAGGCAGTACACAAACAATAAAAAATACGCAGTAAACAAACTTTACAGAGAAAGCAAAATGCTTACTCCTGCTCCTTTTCTGTTATAGTGGGCTAAATCATAGTTAGCATAAGCAACTGATTTTTGGGAAGGCTTTTGCTTTTCAGGGCAGTAGCCTTTAAATTTAATCTTTTATTTCTAATGCCATAAAATAGAATATTGGTAACTGTAAGAATTCAAAAATCATGAGTCATTATTCATCAGTGGGTGAAGGGGAAATAGGCATAGTTGTCTGAGCTTGGATTTTCTCTCCTTGCTTTGACTGGATTTTTGTTATGCAATGAATTTTTTCCATTTTAAGTAATAAGATCCTCTTGTATATTATTAGTTCAAGTATCATAGAGCACTTTACCAATTTAGTGATATGTTGGGCTACTTCACAGTGCACTGAAATGTAGGCACCTTTAAATTAAATGTGGCATCCTTTTAACGGTATGCGAAACCAGTGCACAACTGTTCACAGCGGGAATGAACACGAATATGAACACCGTCTTTCTGAACAGTGTCTTTATTGCCAGATGCTCTCACATAGAGCAGTCCCACAGTTTTCATCTGCATGCAGCACTAAGTGTCTAGTAATGATTTTATCTTTTTTTGCGTAATACTATGGCAAGTGCCCATCTTCTGGAACTGCAGGGAAACTTACTGTTTTTCTCATTCATCTGAAACAGCTGAAGGCATGCAGCTGAGCAGAGCACAGCTGAAGAGGAATTATTGCTGGAGGGGGTGTACCCTGTACTTCAGTAATAAATTAGAGGCTAGAGAAGGCAGTGTCTGCATCAGAGGACTCTCGGTTGCACAATGATACCCGAGTGTTGTCCCGTGCCAGCTGAGGTTTACTCATTGGCAGTGTTTGCAAATCCTTTCCATGGGCTCCATTCTAAAGTTAGCACCACTTCTGACCTAAACAAGTATTTGGAGTAGTACCTTGGCAACGTTATCCTTTGTGGTAGGACTTATTTCTGTTTCTCTTAAATGTCCTTAGGATCACTTCTTTTTTTGTTGTTACTGTGTTGTGGGTTTGGTTTTTTTTTAAACATTCCCCTGGTTCTCTTGAAATACTAGCATCTAATTAGGCTCATCAGTAATACTTGCACTTGAATAGAACTTGCTTTCTGTCAGCTGACCAGTGTACATGAAAATGTCCTTGTTTTTCGTTTAGACTGCCCTTAAGTTGCAGAGCGCTCTGCATGTAGCAGTCTGCCATTTTGTTCTTTGAGTCATTGGACTGTGTTAGCAGACATTGCTGAATTGATAATTTTAGGGCACTTTTTAATCTTTTGTTTTGCTTATCTAAAATAAACCAAGTCAGTTTTGACAAGTTTCCTGGGAGAATACCATATGCATTGTCTGATTGCTGATATGAATGGCAGTAATGGTAGGGAGGCATTTCTAAAGACTCTCTAAAGAACACTCAACACACTTGTTTTGTTTGAGAGGCACTGTGGTCTTCCGGTTGCTGTGTGACCTGTCTTCTCTTACCAGTTCTTGCTATGGGCGCAGCATGAAACTTATTGAGCCCCGTGAGAGTCTTAACAAATCCAAAAGCCTTGGGATCAGCTCTGTAGTCTGGGGCAGGCAATATAACCTGTATGTTTTCTGTGACTTTCTCATTCGCTTACTGCCTGATAAGCAGCAGTGGAAGATAAAAAGGTCTTCCGCTGATAAACCCTCTGTAGGAGCGCCACATCCCATTATTATTCAGATGAGTGGGTCTCCATTGATAGTTTTGCTCTACATGATTTGAAAGATAATTTAGTCTCAGCGACAGCCCAAGTCACTTGAAAAGCAATGTGCAGGTCTTCCCTGGCTGCTACTGCTCTGCAGAGAGGTAGCCGTTTCATCAGTCCGTGCTGGACAGTGTAGCAGCATCCTTGTATGTCCTGATGCAAGGTGCTGGCACTGGTCTTGAGAGCAGGGAGAAGACAGGGTGAGTAGATCTCAGTCTCATTGTTTATTTCTCAAAGTGGCTACTGTCTGATGCAGCTGTGTGGTGGCACAGTTTCAGCCCAGATAAGGTCCATTGGCAGAGATACCTACACGTACAGGGCACACGTTGAGACAGAGCATCACCAACTAAATCGTTGCTGGGAGAAGACAATAATTGTGTTGAAATAATGCCTTGCTTATGAAGGAATCCCCCAGCTGTGGGCATTTATTATGCCAACTGCTGTAAAGCATTAATTGAACAATGAATTTGGCTCGGATATGCAGTGATGTTATTGCTCTGCATATGTATTTAAGTCAATCACAGGTGTCTTAGTACAATAGTTTGGCCCAAACCACTCAAAACTGACCCCTCAATGTAAGGGTCAGTGACAAAATGCAGCGCTTGTGTGCTGAAAGAAAATATAAGTAAGCATGTTTAAGTATCTTAGGTTATTAAAAATGAAAGAAGTCAGAGATGTTTCGTATGGTTTATTTTGTTATTTTTGTATTTCTTTTCATTTGGACAATGGAAAATCTGAAATCAGATTAACAGTTTTCTAATTGTGTTCTTGGGCTGCTATGTTTGGAGGTTTCATGTCTTGCAGGGCAGTGTCTTAATTTAAGTTTGCTCCATTGTCCTTGGAGGAGTTGTTGATTTTTATTTTGGGGCAGTGGTTTAATGTGGAAACAGATATTTTGGTTTTAGAGTTTATAAATTCTTTTGCCAGTTTCAATCTTTTTCCCAAATATTGAATATCCTTCAGGTGTTGTCTCCTTACAGCACCACATAGAGAGAAAGAAGAACTAAACTGAGCTAAGTAAAAAACGACGAGAATTAGACATTGACGTCAATTTTTTTTATTGAAAATATATCAGATATGATTGGCATGATCACTGTTCAGCTGTAGGTAGATACATTCTCTATATAAGGTGTATTTTTCATAAACTGGAACCTAAGTAGGCGCCACTTGTCAGCTTAATGCCAGTGTTGCTTTATAGGCAGCGAATGTAAGAACTGCAGAACTGCAGCTTCACCTTTCACTGGACTCCAGCACTGAATTATTTACAAAGGAGCTGACTAAAACTGAATGGACTGCTCTAGCTTTGAGGCTTCCTCCAGAATTTAAGTGATAACATTCTCCAAGCTAAGCAACACCTCCAACTTCCATAAATTTTCATTTTTCTCATGTTGCAGGAAAGAAAAAATCAAAATTTCAGACTTTCAAGAACTTCTTTGCCAAGAAGAAAAGGAAAGAGCCTCCACCTCCCAGGGGGGAGAGTAATTTAAAACCTAGCCAGTCCAGCAGCGATGTCAGCAGCTCTGTGCTCGACACTACTGCACTTCATTCACCGAAGGAGGCTGGGTAAGCTGGCGGGGAAGGAAAATAAATAAATATAAGCGGACCTCTCACAGCAGTAGGATGAAAGCATGAGTTGGCCCCTTAGGAGCAACCTCTGTTCAAGTTTGTGCAAAACAAGCCCTAATGCTGATGAAGGAATTCCAGGAATTTCCTCTTCCTTTGCTAGTGCTTCAAAAGCCAGCCTGGAGAGGAGGGGGAGGGCAGCCAGGGGCAGGGGTGACCCAACCTCTTAGTCTAAAACTGCAGATAGCCGAGATTGTTTTGATTGGTTTTAGTGTTAGAAATCCGTCCTGGAAGGTCTGATCAGCAGCAACTTCACAAGAGGAGGATGATTGAGTAGCACTAGTACAGAGAATATGTGTGAAGTTGAGTTGCTATTTTTTAGCATAAATGATGCCCTCTGTCATGGCTGGGTTAAAGGGAAAGAAGTATTTTTGTATTATCAGTATGAGATTGCTGCTTTAACTTTCTTACGTAACCTTTTAAGTATAGATAACAACTGAAGGCCTCTAGTTTTGTGTCTGCTACCCCTGAAGGGCTGTGCATGTGAGTGAGGTTTGCAAGTCCTTAAGGTGTGTCCAGAGCAATTCTCAGATCCCTGAAAGATGTTAGTTCAAAAACTTGTCCTTTTTTAGTTAGTGCAATACAAGCTATTAGCTTGCACTGCTAACACTGCTTCACTGATAACCTTAGACCATCAAGCTACATGACATTTCCATTGTTCATCTCTGACTGAATCTGGGGTGGGACAACCCTCTGAACATGGCTATGTCTCTTGCCAGGGGAGTCATGGATCAGTATCTGGCAACCTATAATTTGGCTGTTTTCCAACTCCTCACCCTCTTTATACTGTTAGCTACTCAGCCAGGCCTCTCTTTGGATTACTCTAGGCCCCGGGTTTTGGAGCTGCAGATTAACAAAGTGTGACAAAACACCAGCCACATCCTATGGTTTGCAGTATTTTGTTGGAGGGGACATTGGACAGGTGTGACACTGGCAGAGGACATGAATAAGTGACTAGAGTGGGACATGCTGAAATCAGCATTGCTGCCAAATGCTTTGTATCGTCAAATAAGGCATTTGGTGGAGCTGGACACTACGTTTCTTCTGGTGGAACAGCTTATAGATGTTACTTTCTCACGGGTGCTGGTTCCTCCTTGCCCCACCTTTTCCCACTCTCTCTGTTGTGTTTATGCAACTGCATCATGGAAATGATCTGGGAATGAAACAACAATCTCTTTATTTTGTTTGTTAGCATAACAGCAACAGAGTAACTGACCACACAACCAGTCCCCTAGGGTAAGGGGAATTAGAGTGACTCAGCTAACCCAGTCCAAAAAGCTTAGGAACAGCTGAGCTTACCCCATCAGCCTGTAGGAGGGATCTGGCTTAAAATCAGCTGTCTGCTCCAGAGGCAGTGTGGGTGCGAACTCTTTCTCTTGCCCTTAACCAAATACTTCAAGTCCAATTGCTGTTTACCTCAGCACTATCCTCCAGTGATTATGAACTGTTTTGCAAGATCAGAGATCAGGAAGTGATTAAAACCCTTCTGTTTTTTCCCTTAGAGGTAGGATTAGATGGACTATCTAAAAAAATGAGAAGATATGTTTGTGCTACTTGAAAACCCTATCATGTCCAGACCCTGCATGGCATAAGTACGCTTTGTGAGTACCTAGAGAGACTGAACAACATAATCCTTTGGAAAACCTGATCCTGAAAGCCAGTGTAAATACAACTTGTGAAGGGTTTATAGCAGGGCCCTGAGCTTTGCAATTTCTGGCATGCAGAATATCAAAACCTATCCTAGAACAATGCTGCTGTTTGTTTGTCCTTGAGGCAGAAGCACTGGTTTTCTTTTTTCCTTTTTTTTTTTTTAAACCATGTAATCTTTTTAAAATTTAACTTTTCTGAATACTAACCGGAGACCAAAACCCTAGATGTGCCCATCAAGAATGCTTCTTGTAACCGCCGAAGGGATGTGCCCAGATGTCAAGGGGCTGTAGGGAATCAATGGGATTGGGCATCTGTGAAGGGGAAGGGGTCATTATGTGCCACACCCTCTTTATCTTCTGAGAGGCATGAGTTTTGAATGGAAATGGAAAAACCTTGATGGCAAAGTTAAAGCCATGGATGACTTCATGTCTGTATCACCAAAAGGATAAAAGACCTTACAGAGAGGAAAATTGGGACCCAAACTGGGTCTTATTCCAGTTAAAAAGCTTTGAGCAGGAAAAACTGCTGGGACAAGATGTAAAATTGTTCTGGTCTTTGTAATGAACGCTCACTCCTTTGGCAGGCTGCAGTTGTTCTTGAGAGAGCGGCTGTCTGAAGGAATTGTGTCACTTTTCTTCCCCCTACCTCAAACACTAATAAAAGGAGTAGGGTTGCAGCAATAAGAAGTGGAAAATAGCACAGGCCATGGTGAGTTTAGGAGTAGCTTTATTGCTGGCTGTAGGGTCCCATCATTTCCTCAGTCATAGCAGCTCAAGTGTTGCTACACATGAATGAATTGAGCATTTGTACAGGGAAATCAGTGTGGAGATACAGTGGCTAAAACATCTGGGGGTTTAGCTAAAACTGCATCTTTAGCTTCAGCGCAAATATACACTGCCTGGAATTACACATGAATGTATATTTGCACATAAGAGACTCATCTGTACTAAAGCTGCAGTTAATTCTATATTTAATCCAATGCTATTTTTGTGACTGCCAGAAGAAAATACAGTAATTCTCTTGAAAACACATATTATACATATGCAGAGAGAGAAAGAAAGAAACAGATCTGGCAGTCTCAAGAACAAGGAAACCTCAGCTCTTATTGCTGAAGAATTCCAAGTAAAGGAAGTGAGGAAATCGCCAATTAAAAAGGTTAATACATCCTGATGCACATGCATTCTTTGTAGTAAATAAAATATGCCAACTAATAATGAATATACATTACCGTAAATAAAAGTTACATGACACTGTCTTTCTGAATGCAGTAAAATTATGTCTTGCCCATATAGAGTGTCTTTCATGCTGAAAAGGACTCTAAAGTCAAACACACAAAAAAATGGGATGGCTTCATTCATTCTAATGATGAAATAAGGCAAGTGCCTTACTTGTGTGTAGAAGTGCTGTCCTATAAACTAACACAGATATTAACTATTACGTACAATGGGAGGAAGCACGAACTCTGGCCTGTCCTGTGAGCGAAAGAGCTCAGATTGTCTTCGACACAACATAAACATAGAGCAAATTTATTTTGCTCTACTGTGAGACTCGGCATAGCTGTACACTGATTGACTACACCTTTGGGGCAACAGGAGGGTTAGTCAAGCAGACAAAGGAGATGTTGTCTCCAGAGATATAAAGAAAAGAGATGCAGGAGGAAAAAGAGTAATTTGTTTGGGGTTTTTTACATGATGTATTTACTTTATGAAAGTTCACAGTCTTTCAGGGCTTTCTTCTAAATAAAGAGAGAATCTGCGATTAAGCAAATAGCAGAGACCTCTTCTATTTGATTTCCTTGCAGAAGAGTGTTAGACTTACTGGATTTTCCTTGTCAGAGTTCTGTTCCTAATCATCCCGTTACCCAGAGTCAAACTTTCAGAGGCAATGAGCATTGCCTGCATGGTTGCTGAGCCAAGGAATCCTTGTAACTTGTGGATTACGAGGCTGGCAGCCAACAATATGAGAGTATTGTCTGTGGTTTTCCAGTTAAGTGCTAGAATGAAATCCTGGTAGAGGCCATCCTTATGGTCTTTTGGACAAAGTAATGTACAGACAGTGCCTGCCTATGCTGGTGGAACTTGGTGAATAAAAGATTTGAAGCCTTCCTTGTCGTGCCACCCAAGTGCAAAATTTGCCCTGCACAACCTAATAGCCCAACCCCAATCAATCTCCGTTGATTACAACTCAGTTAACAGCTGAACACCCAGTGGCCACAGAAGCAGAGCAGGAATATCTTACCTGGGTACTTTAACTTGGCCATGGATAGGTATCTAACTGTGGCCATGGACACTTGCCCCATCTACATTTTTTAATATGCTTGGGATCTGGCGATGTTCATGATACAGGTGAACAGAACTGTTTTTATTGCTGGGCCTGAGAGGATTTGAATCAAGTTTGTTAATGTAGTGGAATTACATTTTCTGCCCGCATTTGCAAGAAGAGGAAAAATAATCCACAATCTTTGGCAGGTATGACACACACCAGGCTGCAAAGGTTGTATCCTGAATGTCTCTTGCTAAGCATATTCCCACTAAAGGAGGGCAGAGGACTCCTGTCGTCCCCCTCTGCACTGTAGACATCTCTCAGGGTGGCATGCATCCAACTAAATCTCAGCATCTGACCTAATCACCCTGGACTCCGTCTCTAGTCCACAGAGACTGGCCTGTGTGTTCAATGCAGATGCTGAGTACATCTGAAAAGAGACACCTGCATTTGATCAGCATCCTAAAAAGTGTTTCTTCCTCCCTTCTGAGTATAAAAGGAGCTAGCAGTGACTACTTTGGACAGCTAACATGCAGAAATCTGAAGTTAAGCGAGATGCGTCCCACCCTGGCCTCTTTATGATCCCTCTGCCCTGGTGAAGCAGTGCAGGGAAGTGTTGGAGGGCTGTACCCAGTGCATTGACCACTGTTCCTTCCTTCCCAGGCCCAAAGGAAGCATGGGAAACAAAGCCTTGTCCCATGACAGCGTCTTCATTTTTGAGTCTGCACCAGGAAACGTGGCAGGTGACGTGTTGTCTCAGGAAAACATACCTGGAAGAGTGAAAACTTTGCAGGTGAGAACATCTTCCCCTCATTCATGGTGCTGCTTTGTAATAGCTGTCTCCTAGGAAACTCTGTTGCTTGATTCCTCTGCTGTGTGCCTTAAGACTTTCTTGACTAAAGTGTCCAAAGCCAGGTTTACTACTTTTGGGTCTATTCTGCCTCTTGGAAGCTGCAGCTTTGAGCAGTCCTGGTACCTTGAGCCTTGCCCAGGTCTCATAGTGTGCGAGTGACGTGAATCCAGTTCATGGACTCTTGGAAACTTTCCTTAATGAGCATGTCCTTTTCCAATGGGATTTCCATTCTTCGTAACTGCTTCATACTGCTTTTGGGTTAAGGCCATTTATTGATCCCATAGCTTGTCCCTTACACTGTTATCCTTTTATATATTATTTATATGTTACTCTTTTTGGCAGTTCTGGCTATGATGTTTTCACTGTACATGCTAGCACCAGCAGCTGTGTAAGTGTGTGGGGTGATGGATATGTCAGGGCACTCTTAGTGACAGCTTTATTTATATCGTTATTCTTCCGATGTCTGCCAGCAAAGGATACTGTATTCTGCTAGGTCATTTCCTTCTTCCAAGGCACATACTGAACCCTCCTTGACAGCTCCCTTATCAACTGTTGGTTATATTAATTGCATTTAAATAAGTGCCCAGCTCAGAGCACTGAGATAAAAGTTTAAGATTTTTCCAGAGACTGAAAACAAACTGTTGATAAGGCAGCCAAAGGCCATTGAAATTCTTCCTTTGCTCAGTGTGAGCTTCATGTTGCAAAACACAATTGCATCACATGTTAAGAAATAAAAGATGCACAGAGGGACTTGTTCCTCCATAAGACTGCAAAATAGGCTAAGCTTCAGTTCAGAGTATTTTTTGTATAACAATAGGAGTAGCAGGAGAAATCATGTTTATATATGACAGAACTTGGTTGGGGAAAAAAGCTCTTTTCATGCTATCTCCAGTCCACTGTGCCCTCTCTTCATCCATCCGTCACACTGCATGGTAACGTAATACTGCCAGCACTATTTTTATAGCCATAAAAGACAGCCTTTTTCTGTGAGCTTGACTCTTCTCAGAATAAAAGCCAGGCACTAAGAAAAGCTGTTATTTTCTTAGCAATGTAAATTAACTTCTACCAGAAGACTGTAAATTCAGAGTTTCTCCCACAACACTTTGCTGTCTGCATATAATAAATTTAATAAATCAAAGATGGGAAGTTGTGAAAAGAGGGAAAAGCAAAATTGACTTTCTGTATTTTCCTTCCCATGAAGTGCACAGGTATGTTGTATGTCTTGTTTTGCCCATATATTGCAATCTTCGTGCAATTTGTCATCAGTCCTGCTTTTGCAGATCGTATTGGTGGTACTTCTTTGTTGTGAGTAAGAGGGCAAGAAAACTGTTTGACTGCTGTATAAAAGGTTGACATTGTGCTACCCTGTGTGGCTGTTAGATCTATAGGAATTACATTCCAAGTGAATCTTGCTGAATAAGAATGCAGCTATTTAGATCTATTTTACAGAGATATAAATGATGCAGAAGAGCACAGAATTAGGCCTAGAATTTCCCAATCTAGTTTAATAAGCAAAGAAACAGAAAAACAAGTCTGCATATTTAACTTGGGAATATTCAGTAGAGATGTTTTTAGTTGAAGGACAAAGTTTCTGTTCAGACCTTGTTTCTGTTCCAGCTTTGACATAGCCAACAGACTTAAGCCAAGAATTTTAGTAATGGTGTTTCCTGAGATCTGAACTTTTTTAGTTTGAGGGAACATCTGGCTGCTTGTGAGGTTGCAGACTTTGTTTTATTTTTCTAGGGTCAGGGCCTGCCAGAGCATTCTTTTGTGCAATCTTGGAAGAGAATCCCCATACTCCTTTACAAACAAAGTTGTTCCTGGCTTCTGTTATCATTCTTGCTGTAGACAGGACCAGGATGTGATGCTGAGGAAAATTAACGAGCGATTCATTAGGGTGGACCAGAAATTTAATTAAATTTTCTTTGTATAAAAAGTGGGACTGAGCTACTTGTGCAGGAGAGGGTGGTGACAAGCTCTCAATATTTGGAAGGGCTTTGTGAAGGAAAGCTGACCACATAAACCTGGGGTTGGGAACTGCTGACTGACAATACTTCTGTGACTATTTTGGACATCTGGATACATCTAATTATTTAAAGAATACTTAAACCTAGAATTTTTAAAGTTTTAAATTTAAACTGAGTTAAATTGCTGCAAATTTTCTGGAATGGTGAAATTTCTGTCTTCGGTAACTTACCAAGTAAACCTGATTTTGATTTTAATTTTGTACCGAAGCCAGTTCTGATGATGGGTCCTTGATGAATGTAACTAAATAAAATTTTATTAATGGCTATTTTCTGTAAATGGCCTGTTTCTTCAAGTATTTCTGTTAGCTAAGAGATTCCTGCATGCCTAGTGGGAGCAACTGGGATAGAAGTGTCCAAAATGTCCCCTATAAATAATGCCATTGAAAGTTTATATTCTAAATTTCTTTTCAACCACAGCTTCAGTTGCAGCAAAACATCAGACTTGGATCGCCTCCTCTTGTTATAACTGGAAAGAAACTGGAAGATGCAGGTGCTGTTTCTGAAGACGATGGTTTACCTAGAAGCCCTCCTGAAATTTCAACCCTTCATGAAGTTCTGACAGATTCACAAAGCAAGGTATAATGTTATGTCACTTTAGTGACCACCTGTGCAGAAAAGATAAAATCTGCTTGGAGAAGGGGAAGACCTTTTTGCTTGCTTGTGATAAAATCTGATGGTACAGATCAGTCAGAACTAGAAAAAATTAGCTAGGTGGATTGTGGACTTTGTGACTGTGAGGGATACCTAGGGAGTGGCCTTACAAATACCCCTTCTGAGTACAATTTTATATGCTTTTATGTAGACCAGTGCTGGGGCAGTTGTGACCTGAAAGAGGAGAGAAATTCAGTTGATATGACAACTCTCAGTGCCTTCGGGCAAGGCAGTCTTTCCTGGCAGGGCTGTATGGCAGAAAGCATAAAAAGTGAATTATTCGCAGGTGAGTGTTGTGTTACTGTGACTGTTCCGCTTCCAGTCTGAGAACAAGCTGAGGTACTCACACTGCACAAACTTCCCATGTCTTCCAGGTTTAAAGAGCTGGAGAGATTGGCAGTTTCCTGCACCTGTGAAAGGGGAAGAGGTTTTGAGTGTTTCAAAGCTAGTGAGGAAAACAAAAATAATGAGGAGAATTTTTGCAAGGAGGAAATAATGCAAGAGAATTTTAAACAATTACTGTTTTTTGAATTAAATAGCCCAAAACCAGGGCAATATTGACAGGAGGGTAACAATCCTGAGGAGAACAGGTCCTGATGGGACTCAGAGAGGGTTTGGGTTACATGCTTTCTTAGGAATTGCCTTCTCGCAGCAGATGCGTGATTTTTGACTTGAGTGAGCATGTGAGCATTTGTAAGTTTGAAGATCTTAAAACAATAAGCCAAAATAACTTTATAAAATGTATCGCCTCATGTGATCAACCTTCATGGCATATCTCATAGAAGGATAAAGCTCCCCTACTTTATGTTTGATCCCCGATGAACAAATGAAACCTACGTTGTGAGGCAGGGACTCAGTAACCCTTCCTTTATCTTTCCTCTTGTGTTTTTTCATAATTAGCACTGGATATCCAGTCCCAGATAATTCAATGTGATACTTCCCTTGACTTACCCTCTTCCTTATTTTATCCCACAGTCCTCCAACCCTGTTCAGCGTCATAGCTCTTTGAGTTTAGGCGGGACAGACAGTGAAGATGAACAGGTAAATAGCTACTTTTCCTGCTAATAAACTTTCCTGAGACAGCATGTGTGTTGTCTGTATGGAGCCAGTACAATAATCTTTTTTTTTTTTTTAATCTATTCTGGGTACAACATATCCTAGCAAACAATTCATGAACAGTCCAGAGTGATGCAAACGATACTGAAAATGTACCTCTCACAGAGTTTTGAATAAGAACCAAATAAAGAGAGGCAGAAATCTACTGGTAAGTGGTTTATGCGAACAGCATAGTCAGCTCTGTGACACAGTATGAATCTGTAAAGTTACACAACAGAAAATTGGACAAGGCAAAGCACTTCAATTCTGCTTCTATGTCCCAGGGTCCCAATACCCAACAGCAGTAATAGTTTAATAACACCTGCCCATCAGCAGTGGCTTGTGAGGAATGCCCTGCATCTCTCTTATCATGGGAAATAATTGCAGGATTAGCCCTTTTTTGACACCAGATATTCCACAGGAAAAGGTCTGTGTTCATTTGCAGTTTTCTTTGGATGATAAGTGACCATCATCATCAGTAGGTTCTGCTGTCAGACCAACACAGTCTATTCCTTGACCAGCTCGGGAAAATTTGCAGAGGTTATATTTTTGCAGAGGAGCCTAGGAGACCTTCACCTTGACTGTCTCTGCTGCTTGAAGCTGAGTTGAGTTCCTGCCCATCTCATGTTTTCAAGGCAGGACTGCAAGGTTTGCTTATATTGCCTTTCTCCAGTGTTAATATAATGTCTGAAAGACCAGTCAAACCACAGTTATGCCAATAGGGTCTTCAAATGCCAGTGACAAAGGCAGCCACCACTCCAACAGGGCTGATTGGATTCATGGGATAGCCCTTGCAGTTGTATAAGCAAAGTGATCTGCCATTTAGCTGAGAAAGGGAATATTTATGGGTCCAGAACAGCTATGGGCCATTTTGGCCCAAGCTTTGCAGTCCTCCATACTGAATCCCAGTTTGAGAAGCTCACCAGAGAGAACTCAGTTTAACCCTTTGTGAAACTGAGAATAGCCCACAAATAAAGGGAAGGTAACAGGGTACTAGAAGATTCCTTCCTGATAAAGAGGGCCTTAAGCAGCCAGGGCAACATCCTGAGGGTCAAACAGTTAGTGCCAACCCCACTGCTAAGAAGGCTTTCCCTTTCACTCTGTCTTTGGCCAGCCTTCTCAAAGGGAGAGAGCAACCTTTGGGCAAGACCAGCTCAACTTCCCTGTCCGTGGTTGAGATCAGACACTCTCCTGCTCAATCATTCCTAGATCTTTTGCTTTTAGGGATAGAAAGATAAAGCAATGTCTCCCCCTCGTAGTAGACTACTAGTCACACAACTCTAGAAGCCCAAGTGATCTAGGTAACTTGGATTGTCATTATTTTTAATAACTTCTAGTATATATTTTATCATTACTTCAATGTACATTTTATTAACTCATCTCCCGTTTTATATTTTGACTAAAATGCTCCATTTTGTAAGCCTGCATACTGTTTTTTTCCTTACAATGCAAAAAGCCCTTTTCTATCCAATTCTGAAGTCTTTGAGCTCTTTCAGTCTTACAATCTTATCTCCTATGAGAAAGAAAGACAGGGACAGGAGAAATTTTTTTCTCTCTTCTCTATTGCACAGAATTCCCCACTTAAAGGATTTTCCTTTTTCTCCCCAACTCACTGGGAGTCTGGCTAGCTTCTCTACAGTACCGTGTATGTTTCTTTACCCAAATATGTTTCTTAGTCAACAGTTTGGCTTAGCAGAAATCTTGCCAATATGTTTACCTAAAATAAAAAACCTTTTCCTAAATAATCATCATTTTTTTTCAGTAGCTTTTGAAACTATTTATGTAATACCAGGATTTGAGCTAGCAGAACACAAGTTGTTAAACTGAATAACCTTGTCCCAACGATGAGGAAAATTGTGAAAAGCACCAAGAAATGTATACCAGTTATTCCATTTAACAATGTTGTATAGTTAGTAAAGGAAAAAGAGGATTTGATCCTAAGCAGTCTGAAGTTGCACACAGTGTAGTGGTTTACATTGATCTTGCTGCAGATGATAGTTACTTCATTTCTTTGCCCTGTGCTGCTTCACTGGATTTTCCAAGAACTCGATGCTACTGTCACCTCTGTGTGAAACCCTGATGTGTCACCCATGTCACTTCTCAGTGCCTTCCACATTTATAAATACCCTCTTTTTGACTAATCTAAAGCTAAATGTGAAGCTATCGCTCAAAGCGAGCAGCAAGTGACTTCACAGAGACATTAACCAGCATTACCCTGCCTTTGCCAGACAGCCTTTACGGAAATCTAACTTCCTTGTTGGCATCTTCAACCCAGATTGATTAAAAGCAAAACAGGGTCTCAGCTTGTGGGGCTGAGGACAGTGCTTTGGCACAAACACTCTTTAGGAAATGGGCCTCCAAGCTGCAGCACTCTCCTTGGCAGGGTCCTGTAACTGTGCAATAACAAACACCAAATTTAAAACACTTAAAACACTGATGTGGAAATCCTGTGTCTGCTCCACTGTCTTTGAGAGAAGATACCAAGTGTCAGTCGGTGCTCAGAGAAAAAAATATCCTGAATCCTCAGTGGAGTAGGGAATTTGCCATTTATGTACAGCAGTAGCTCAGATACTAGCTTCAGGTGTTTTTATATTAAATAATTACAACTGTAATTTTATAATTGAAAGGCAGAAGAACTTGTATGTAGAAATGAGTAACAATAGTACTATTTTTATAAGTTCTAGTGATCCTTACAGGTTTATCATTAATCTTGTAGAATTATAACAATAGCTAGCTTATTTACTAGCTGTGTTCTTTCTCTCTCTCACAATGTGTAAATTTTTCATGAGAAGAGTCTGTGTCTGTCATAATACATTCTGTTGTGGTTTATTTCAGGTCTAGGAACTAAAAAAATTCAGTTGAGAATAAGGAAATTAATTTTAGCTACCTTAAACACAAAGCAGTGTACCTAGACAATTTTTGTAGATCAGATGGGAATATGCTTTCATTATCTTTAAAACTTCATCAGCGTAGGTTTTAAACGCTGTGTTATATCCTAAGCTTAAACAAAACTAAAATCTGAATGCCAAGCACAGTTAAATGGCTTTGTTTCACCTAGCTTTATGGCCAAAGCCAAAATAGTGGGTATGTTATACTGAATGAAGTTTGTTTGGCATGTCTGTGAAATTTTGCAAATGTTCCAGAAAGTCTGGTCTACATTTCAAAACAGTAACAGTAACAAAACCAGTCAAACTGCATGTTTAGGGGTTTCTCTACAAATACTTCTGTAAACCCTTTTTTTTTGATAGCATAATCTAAGTTACTACTGTTTAGTTCCCCATTGCTGCGAGGGTGAGATCCACATCACTGTCCGGAAGATGGTTCTGGGATACTTGTTGGAGAGAAGCATTTGATTTTTCTGGGAGAGTGGATATTAAAAGAGCAAAGTGGCTATGGTAACTTTCTTAGAAATAGAGATAATGAGGAGCAAGTATCCGTGCTACTTTCGTGGCTTTTTAATAACATATTCCTGCAATGTGTCACATTATTGGGATGAAAAGGAAGCTATAAAAACTGCACTAGTGTCTCCTGCTGGTGCATATATATATTGCAAATGGTTTTTCAGATAAGAACTGAGAAGGGAACAGCTGAGGCTCTTACTGTGGGAGAGGGAGAGACAGGTATTTCTCACTTTTGTGTGACATACAGCTGAACATTGAGTAACCTCTATGCAAAGATGACATTCCCATGCATTTTAAAGTGAGGATTTATGTCCAAAAATACATCCATTTCAGGCTTCTGAAATGGAATGAGCTAGCAAAGGAGTTGTTTCAGAGGTGTGGGGAAGCTAAGCAAAATTTACAGTGATGCGTTTGTGTTTTACAGATACCTTCTGGAGCTTCCTCCAGGCCCATCAGTCCTTCATCCTCTGCCACTCTGGGGGCCCCCTGCTCACGAGGCAGCAGCTTCCTTCCCGTTGACTTCACCATCCCTGCCAGTCCCCTCGGCTGCCTGGACACCTCAGCAGCCAGGCACAGGATTGCCATAAACCCCCGGAAACAGAAAGGCTTTACCAACAAGAATCAGCAAACCCCCCAGGTAAGCATTTTCTGGAAAAGAATCACTGCACAGAAGAAAATGGATGTGAATTTTTAATTATTGTTTTAAATATTTTTTTCCATTTTTCTCTTTCCTATCCACATTCCTTTCCTTTTTTTGTTCTTCCATTGGAAGAAGGGAAACCACCTATTTTCCACCAACCAACCTAACAAAAAATACTCAGAAAACTTCGATGTCCTGGGAGCCGAAGAAAAGTGCAACTTTAGTTTTTCATATTTAGCCAAAAAAGTTGCGGGTTACGCTTCATTTGTAAAAACATTCCTTTTGTTTGAAAAGCTAGTTTTCAGTTTTAAAGAAGCATAAGTCTATTTCTACAATTTCAGATTAGCTTTAACTTAATTCTTTGTATGTCAAAGGAAAGACTGAAGGACTTTGGGAAGGAAAGTGGCTCTGCATGTGGGAAGTTAGGATGAGGTGCTTTTCATCCTGGCTTCTAGGAAACACATTGTGAAGATGAAGTTGAGCTGGAGTGTGACAGAGAGAAGGAGTAATGCTTCTGTACTGTGTGTTCCCCTCTCCATCAGAGAATCGTGTGAAAATCTGGCCTGGAGTTAAAAGTGCCCTGCCCTGCGAAAGGGAGCGGGGGAGAAATTCAGGATGAGTGTAATACAGGATGAGGTTTTCTTGGAAACTTGGGCCCTACAGCATCTTTGTTGGATATTCTTTGTGCTGCAGCTAGTACAACTACAGTGCTGAAGGAGAAAAGCTAATTGTGGAGCGTCAATCAGAGATACCAGAAGTGATGATAATGTATCTGGCTTGGTCTGTTCTGTGCCAGCAGGTAGCTTGGGTGATGTCTTAAAAACAGACTCGTTCACTCAGAATATGTCAATCCCAGGATGTTTCAGATTCAAGACAGATCAATGGGCTGCCTTTGACATTTTAAACATTTCTAGGTTCTTATTTGGAATAGTACAGTACCCACAGTGTTGGTGAATTACAGGATGGGGGTTTTGTGTCTATGTTTTGAGTATTCATAAACATGCATGTGTATAAAATACAATTTTTGTGCATTATTCTTTAATTAAAAGATCTTACTGCACCTCATTAGGTGGAACAGCTGGAAAATGAAGCATGTCTTCCTGCAACTCCAGAAGAGAAGGGAAATTCAACAGAATTACTTGAGAGTGACCAGCATAAAAGTGATTGGGAAGGTAATACAGACTGATGTATTGCTACTTTGGGTCCTTGAACTCTTATACCTAAGGCTGACAGGACCTATTTGAATTGTAAGTCCTTTCAAACTAGGCATTGTTTGGTTTTATATCATAAAACCAATCCTGGCTGCTAAAGTGTTATGATGGAAAAAGTCATGTACTCTACTCAACGCAGTGGTGCTGAAATGGTGAACTTTGAGGGCAGCGTTAAAAAAATACATGAGGTGAAAGTACCATGTTCAGAAGCACCTGTGCTACACAGTTGGCTAGATCTCATTGGCTGGGGATACGAGTTCCCTGAAACTAAGAAAAACCTTAACCTCAGCATTATATCTGTTATGTGTTTAAGGTGAGTTTAATTGGTTTGTGTTTACTAGATTTTCCTTTGCAACCTCCCCCCTTATAATTTGAATAATAGCTAATTGCCAGTGGTAACACAATTGTAATTGTAAATTGTAAAAACAAATCTCCAAAACAGCACCGAAGACTTTTCTCTTTAGCACTGTATTACAAATTCACTGGCTGGTGGTAATGCTGTAGTGTAGTGGGAATGTTGGCACTTGTTGTCAGGGCAGACTCAGGACCTGATGCTGTCATGTGTCAGAGTTACTGTGTGTGCAGACATATCTAAGCTATCCAGATGTTCAGCAGCCCTGTTGGAGCTGCAGGAGGCAGAGGTACCTGATGCTGAGATGTTCTGCTTAAATACAGAAACTCCTCCAGATCATTCTAAATAGCCTTTCTAGGCACACACATGAAGAAATATCTAGGGAAATCTGGCTAGTAGTCTTACAACTAGAAAAGAAATAAACAGCAACTGATTTGATACACCTTAAGCAGACAACAACAACTTTCAGTCATTCCCGGGATTAGGTATGTTCAAACTAAAAACGCTATTAGTCTCCTCACTTGGACAGCCCATTTCTAAATATGCTTTTAACAGCCTTATTTATCAGACAACGGTGGCCAGACATGGGGAATTCATGCTAAATGACTGCACTATCTGGAATGAATTACTGATACGGATGGTGCTTGAATTGTAACCTTTAAATGCACACTCTTCTCTGCTTAATACAGGATTGTCAGCCCAGGTGGGATACTGTGCAAAGGGAAGTGGTTCTAAGGAGACGCCAGGTGTAAAAAGTCCCACTGATGCTGCCCGTGACTCTCGTGATTCCACACTTGTGGCAGAAGACTCTTGTGCTTTGCTGCAAGAGGATGCATGCCTTCCAGAGATGGACCATCACTATAAAGCAGCTGCACCCCTTCTGAGACCTGAGCCTTCTCCAGTGAACCTGGAGGAACACCACAGTGCGGAAGTGTTGTACTGTTCAGATGAGTCTGCTGATGAATTGAAATTACATCAGCAAAATACCAATAGTGAAGTATCTGCACTTCCAAAATTTCAACAAATTGAAGGAGAAGGTGCTGTGTTTCCAGATGTACTAGCAGCTGACTTGTTTAGCAGTGGTGTGGAAACCGAGGGCATAGATATATTGGCAGATGTTGCACAAAGGTCCTCAGTAAATTCTGTGGGCCCAAACATCAAAGACCAGGAAAAGGGGGATCCACTGTTTATTGGCAAAGTAGAAGCCTGCTTGGGTACTACTGAGAATCATTCCAACCACGCTGTCTCAGATACTGCACCAAGCACTTCACAGGTGGCGGTAACCGATTCAGAGTCGTCTTCTGGCATCAAGACAGTGGCTGTTTTGAAGGCTGAAAACAGTTCAGTAACAAGAAATGACAAAGAAACTTGTGAAATAACGGAATTTCAGTCATCCAAAGGCAATGCAGAAAAAAAAAAAGACGCTGCTGCATCTGTCTTGGAAGCAGGTTGCATGCTGCCTCCCAGTAAATTGGAAGTATGTTTTAAAGCAGAAACTGTTTCTGTTTCAAAGGGTAACCAAGGCGGTCAACAGGCCAACACGTCATACATTTCTGAAAAACTTTCCATTGGATGTCTTGCCTCTTCAAGTTTGGCTGGCTTGAAGAGTAATATGTCTTCTGATGACGACAGTAAGGAGTACCAGATAAGCAGTACAGCTTCTCACAGAAAAACAGTGGAAGACAGTCGATCTTCAGATGAAAATGTAAAAAGTCCACTGAAGACTGCTTCTGCTAAACCGGTCAGATTTACCATTGCACCAGCATGGCAAAGATCTCTCTCAGGGGGTTCAAATTCAAAGGAAGATTCCTATACCAGAAGTTCCCCAACGTCTCCTATAAGACCAGAGTTGTTTGAAGGAATGACAAAAGAACACACACATTTTGATGCAGTCATCCAGGAGTCAGCAAAAATCAGCTCAGATAGATTTGATCGAGATTGTAAGGACAGTGATTTGCATTTGAATTCTTCTGTGGAGTGGGCTGACCATGAAGCACAAAATGTTGAAAACCCGTTTGGGGTTAGACTACGGAGAACATCTTCTTTGCTAAAATACCAGAATGAAAGCCGTGCTGAGTCTCCAAAACTGATCCCCTCAGCTGTTCCCACTGCGACTTCTGCTTCAGTCAAGGAGGACCAGAAATCGGTGGGCGCTGGGAAGCCACTTCCAGGCCTTCCTGTCAGCACAAAATCATTTGTTAAAAAACCAGATCTCCTAGAAGACAAAAATCCTCCCAAGACAAGATCAGAAGAAGTGGCAAAGAAGCAAAATGGTCATAAACCTTCAGGTATTTATACTGTATTTTTATCCAAATATTGTAGAAAACAGTGATCGTATAAGAACCTTGGCAGAGTGGCAAACAAAAGATAAAAATCCTCTTGGCGAGGACCAAATTTAGTCTTGAGTTTGTCAGCACCATAATTTAATTGGCTTGATGATTTGGCCAGTCAAAAGAATTCTTGGTTTATCTTAATGAGGGGTGTGTTCCAGCAAGAATAACAACAGAGTAATAGCTTAAGGGCCTCTGAAACATTTCTGATATGACCTACTTGTGCATATAGTTGGAGGTTTAACACAGCTTTTTAAAACTTGCTGCTATCTTGTAGTTAATTTTTCGGACTGCAGCAGCTCAAACCTTAACTAGGAGTTGCATTAGGTGTGATTATTTTTTTTTTCTACAATCACTTCATTTAAAATATTTAAAAAACGAAAAGGCAGCCTGTATTTTACTGCCTACGTGAAAAAATAATGGTTATCATACTCATTTAATGTGCAATGTAAGGATGTTGTTTCAAAGGCAAAATCCGGTTCACAATAATCTCAGTGGGAGTTCTGCCATTGACTTAAATGGAAGCAGAGTCAGGTCAAAAACTCCAGAATAAACAGAAAAACAGTTATTGCCAAGGACAAAATCATCAGGGAAGGTAATTTTATCTCCACAGTGTTCAAAGGGTATTACAGATGCTGAAGGATTTAAACCACGAAACACTAGCTTTAGACTGACTTGACCTAAATCCCTTCTTTACTTCAAAAATGCTTCTTTTGTAGAAAAAGTCTCTTCTTCATATTTGGAAACTGCTTCATCTGAACCAGCTTGGGTCTCCATGGCAAAACTAAAACAAAAGGGTTTCCAGGACCACCCTCTTGCCAAAGAACATAAAGCTGAAGACAAAGCTTTGATCAAAGTGGATCAAGAGCAGGTAGAGTACCAAGTAATGTTGCATGGGTGTGAATCCTGCACCAGATTGCCTGGGTACTTTTGCAAACTGTTCAATATCATCTTCATGGGAGGTGCATTGTGAGCACTACTCAAAGAGAGATTTTCAGGACTGGCCTCTAAAATATATTGAGACAGACAACTGATGCAAGTGAGCAAACACATATGTGACTATATCATCACAGTGATTAGTTTCAGAGCTGGATCCTCCTATATGTTCCTTTGCACTACTCAAACCTGAACCTTTTCAGAGCTTGCCTATTGCCCAGAATGTATTTATGTAGCCCAAGAGCTGCTTTGAGTTGCACTAGCTTCCTCACTGTTAGTGACCTACAGACCGCATTCACTGCTCTGCTCTGGAGACTGCGTACTGAAAGTTTGGCTTTTCCACCGCCTGTTGCACAAGTTTCTTGTGCAGCTTGGGCAAGTTCTTCAACTCCCCATCTGTAAGAGAGAGAGGATAACTTGCCTGCATGTGAAGTAACCCTGCATTTGTAGCAGCTGTCTTCCTTTTTGCCTTCTCCCTCCCTCCCACAGGTCCCCAATCATCCTTGTCTGGCTTTTGCTGCATTTCCACAGTCAGGTTTAGAGATGTTGCCAGGGCAAGCTTTATGAGTGCCAGTGGCTAGCGGGTTTCTTAGTCATGTTCTTTCCTTCTCTCCTCCTTTTGTAGCAAGGGATCTGTGCTAGTGAGAACATACTGAAGAAGAATATGCCTTCCAGCTTGAGCTCTCAGGACAAGAAAATGCAAATGAAGACCAGCGTGTCTGCTGCAGCAGGTATTCTCTTTCTTTACATCTTTACATAGTGTCTTTTACAGTAAGTAGCGTGGGTGGTGGGTAATGGGGGGAGATAGCTACCTTTCTGATAATCAGCACACTTCATATAAGGCCTGTTCGGACTATAGTTTGTGTATAAGTCAACGTATTGGCTTGCTCACTCAGCAGAGAAAGCAAGTAAGGAACTTTTATCTCCACTGCCAGTTCATGGAATGGCATATAAACATTGTAGTGATTTATTACTGGCAAAGGTCAGTACTAAAGAATAGCAGCTGAAGTTGGAGAGTGTCCAGAAAAGAGCAGCAAAAAAGGTCAGGTCTTCTAGACCTCCACTCAGCCAGGAAATGCTGATGGGAGTGAAGTTGTTTAGTCTCGAGAAGACAACTTAATTTGCTGCAGAGGACAAGACTAGTCTTTATGCCCTGTATGAGCTTCAAATGCACCAGGGAAGGTTTAGCTTAGACATTAGGAAATAGTTTCTAACAATTAGTGAAAGTGATGGTGGTGAAGGGCGGAGTAACATAGGTTGCTTACAGAGTATGTGAGGTTTCCATTACTGGATGTGCTAAATAAACATGTATCGAGAATAATTTCGGTAGAGTCAGTTCCACCCTCAGGTGGAACACAGAGGCTCAGTGGCCCCTCTCCTGCCCTGTTAGCTGTGATTCTCTATAAGAGGGATGCAGGGGAAGAGTGTGACTCAGACATCGTGACTCACGTACTTCTTCCAAGGCTACTGCTGGGCTGCAGCTTATCCCTCCCTGCTTACTCAGCATGGTGCCAAACCTCAGAGACACGCTCCAGCTAGATATAGATAAGCCAGTTCTTCAGCTGTAAAATCATATTCTGCTACCTGAAAGCTATTGATTTCAGATACTGCCTAAGAAGATAAGAAATGCCCCACTGTGTCAGAGCAGTGGCTTTTCTGTTCCAGGTTCCTGTTGCTGACACTGTCAGTAAGAGATGCTGTCTAGAGAGAGTGCATGCACCTGGCCATTTCCCCCTTATAATCCACCAGCATCCAGAATTGTTGTATTAGAGATATTAGGGGGTACCTCTGTTCCTGCTCCCTGTACTAGTTGTTTATAGAGCTGTTATCCATTTTTGAATCTACAGGTGCTACAAAATAAGCTTTCTCCCTTACTACAGGTAGCTGACCAGCTGAGGATGTGCACCAACACAGAGGCTCTGATGTCAGTTGCCAGCCTAACTGTGTGTGTGTGATTAAAATACAATAGTTATTAAAAAGGATTCTGTTACAGGCCAGCTTCGTCTTATGGTTCTTACGGCAAAGTGAGAGATGAAACGTAAACAGGCCAAGATATTTGCTCAGATTAGAAGGTCTTCCTTTGAAAGGCTGGCACAAACAGACTGGATTTCTGCGTGTTGAATCATCTAAACCTTGGAAGCTCAGCAGCCTTCAGTCGAAATTCAGAACTCCACAAAGTACTCTGCTACTCGTTTACTAGAACTTACACCACTTGTGGTCCTTGCAGTAGAATTACAAGTTTTTCTGCATCACCTCTTCCCAAGAATTGGCCTCGTTTCCTGACATCCAATGACTGTTTCCTCCCCTCCAGGGATAGCATTTATAGGCATATTCTAGTCTTCCCCTCCTTGAATATCACAAAGAGGTCTGACCAGCATTGATGTTTAAGGAAAATACTACTCCTCTACTGCTCAGAAAACCATGCCCTGTTGCTTAGGAAATATCCAGCACTGTCAGCACGAGTAGGAAATTGGGAATACCAAATGTAAACTCTCCTCTTCTCTGATTTGGTTCCCATTGGCACAGCCAGCAATTTGTCTAGTTGAAGGTGCTGGTGGTGGAAAGGATGTAGATTTAATATCCAGAGGAGTTATTAATTTGGATCATGCTTTTTGGCTTATGTTAACTGTTAGCAGTTTTCTTGATGGATGGTTGATGTTTTCTGTGCAATGCATACATCCTGCACACAACAGCAAGAGCCAGGACAGCTCAAGGTCAGCTAAGTTTGGAAGAGAATTCCAAGAAATCAAATCCTTACTTACTGAGTGTGACTTTTTTGTTACTGCTGCGTGGCAGCCCATGTCATAACCAATGAAAGATTACCTAGAATCATAGAATCATTTAGGTTGGAAAAGACCTAAGATCATCAAGTCCAATTGTTAACTTAGCACTGCCAAATCCACCACTAACTAAACCATGTCCCTAAGCACCACATCTACCCGTCTTTTAAATACCTCCAGGGATGGTGACTCAACCACTTCCCTGGGCAGCCTGTGCCAATGCTTGACAACCCTTTCGGTGAAGAAATTTTTCCTAATATCCAACCTAAACCTCCCCTGGTGCAACTTGAGGCCATTTCCTCTTGTCCTATCGCTTGGTTCTTGGGAGAAGAGACCGACCCCCACCTTGCTACAACCTCCTTTCAGGTAGTTGTAGGGAGCGATAAGGTCTCCCCTCAGTCTTCTTTTCTCCACACTAAACACTCCCAGTTCCCTTAGCTGCTTGTCATATGACTTGCTCTCCAGGCCCTTCACCAGCTTCGTTGCCCTTCTCTGGACACGCTCCAGCACCTCAATGTCCTTCTTGTAGTGAGGGGCCCAAAACTGAACACAGTATTCGAGGTGCGGCCTCACCAGGGCCAAGTACAGGGGCACGATCACCTCCCTATTCCTGCCGGCCACACTAGTTCTGATACAGGCCAGGATGCCATTGGCCTTCTTGGCCACCTGGGCACACTGCCGGCTCATACTCAGCCGCCTGTCGACCAACACTTAGCTTGCCTCTTCTCTTTCCCACTTCACCCTAAATATGGTGAGGTTTGTCCCAAAGCCCATCTTCCCTCAAATGGACATGAGCCACTGTTTTTGGGTTTTGTTTTACCTTGTGCTGTTGAGAGCGTGCAAAGGGCTTTAGACTCCCTTTTGCTTATTACAAAGAAGGAAGTCTCCCAAAATGTGAAAATTCATTTCCAAAATAAAAATTTCGGTAACACTTAAATTCCTACATCACCTTAGATACTTTGGAAAAATTTGTATGTAGAGCTGCAGCCTGTTTTTAATGGATGGTATACTTCCTCCAGTGTTCCTAAGTATAGCTTGCCTCCTGCAAGAACTACCAATGAGCCAGGATTTTTAAAAGACCAGAGACCTCCTGAGTGGAGACTGGGAACTGCTTTGGCTTTGCTCAGGAGTGTGACTGATGGAGTTGATGGACATTTTGCATTGATTTCAGTGCAAGCAAGATAAAGCTTCTTGTACTTAACATTGCTTAAGTCCCCATGTGGCCTCTGTTCTTGCGCTAGAGCACAGCAGCCTCATCATGCCTGCCACATGCCATGCACTGACTAATCAAGTATGAGAAAAAGTTTGAATTTTCTCCGTTTGACTTACACACAGAAATGAAGTACTGCCTGGTTTGAAATGGATGGAGAGAGCATGATGTTGAAAGAGTTGTGAACCGTGTCTCGAGAAATGAGAGCTGCATCTGTTCGGAGCTGCATTCTGTGAAGCCCCATTCCAGGCTGTCGGTCTGAAGACATTAATCTTGAAAATTTTCACGCAAGATGGATGGAGTTACTATTTTCTAAATAGTAACTCAAAGCCATACAAGGAGTGTTATCTGTATTCCTCCATCCTTTGTGAGGATGACAGGCTTGTGTTAGGCTGCGTGAAGAGGAACACCTAGTCCCACCAGAATCCCACCTTCTTGGCTTAGGAGTCCAAGAACATAAAGCACTGGTTTGATCCCTACCTAGTATTTAATAATATTGCTGGAGCAATATTTGTGCTGGCAGTGAAGACTGAAAAAAAAATCTTTAAGGCTCCTCAGTGTTGAAAAACATATACCCGTTACTTTTAACCCCACAGCAAGCCTGGGGTGATCTTTGCCCTGCAGATACTTTGTTTCCATTTTCATGCATACTCAGGAGTCTTATTCCTAGATTTTCTTGCACTCACAGAGCAGAATAAGCCTGTGGAACTCCTTGCTCTGCACTGTCATGGAAATTAAGAGTTTGAAAAGATTAAGAAGCGAGTTAGCCAAGAATATGAATTACAAAAATACCTGGGGCAATAGTCTCCATATGTTTGAAGAATTTTGAAGAATGTCTTCATTTATCAGGGCTTAGACACTTGCTGTTGGGACTGAGAAGATTCTTTTATGGTCAGATTATTCACTAACAGTTTAGTATCAAGTTTTCCGTTGCAATAGCTGGTCCTTGCCATTGTTGTAGCTGGACCAGATAGTGCTAGTGATACCCAGTTTAACAATTCCTCTGACTTATTTTTGAGTCACAAATATTCTGGGCTGTAAAACAATTGCTTTAGAGAGAAGGAAATATTATTGGCAGAAACTGAGTTTTTAACTCTATTCTGAGTGATGGATATCTTGTTGTTGGCAGGTAAAGTTGGACCTATTGCTCAGGAAGCATCTGTGATTTCTGCTGTTGAAAAGGAAGCAAGACACTCCTCTAACCTGCCAATTGCTGAACCACCATGGCTATCCCTGGCCAAGAAGAAAGCCAAAGCATGGAGTGAAATGCCCCAGATTGTACAATAGCAAATGACATGAGCATCCTTCTTTGTATTGCCAATAGCTGCGTTAACTCCATTTAATAACTTCTTTACTGTGACCAATTTTTGAGAAATAAGAGCCTTAAAACTTTTGATCAGACTGTTGTGTATAAATACACAATGAAGAAATACCATCGCAGGCTTAATTTTAAGTATTCGGAAGCTGAGCATTTCCTACTACCAAATACTAGGAAAACTTGATCGATTTGTTATATCCTTACACATTTGACAGTGATGTTCTAAGAAGACATGCTTCAGACTTTTGAAACATTTCCCTTGCAAAATATGTTTTTAAAGTTTCTGCAGACCATAGGGTATTTTGTGCAATGTGGCTTTGGCTAAGAAATTAATGTATGCTAGAAAATAGATATAATGCTGGGCACTGACACATCATGACTCATGGGCGTTGATGTCATCACACTTCTTTCTCTAATGCTCTGGGATGGGCAGTCTGACTGCTTCTGATTGTTAATGGATCTGTTTTGTGATAGCTATAGGATCTAAACAGCATTGTGAGTTGGAGTAATTCTGGCTTTTGGGTTGTTTGAAGTCACAATGCTGTCAGTCTTGTGCTTTGCTCATTGATGCCTACTGGAATGGCCTAGAGCCACGCACCTTCTGTTCTCTCCCATGCACTAGAAAACCACCACACTCTAGCATATACTCTGCTTTTGGTTACACCTTTGGAAATCTGGGATAATTTGGGCATTCTACAAAAAAAAAAAAAAGTCCTTTCTTTAATTATGGCAAATAGCGATTTATTTTTTGTGAGATTCCTCAGCCAATTGTCTATTTTACAGAGTATGTTGGGGATGGGAACTATTTGCTACCTAGAAAGTGGCATCTTATTTTCAACAAATGCCACTCTACTCTCCATGTTCATGTGGATGTATATTTAGTCAGGTGTATTTAATATTAGTGATAAAAGAGGCATCTGCTTTCCTCCTTGCCTCATCAGTCTTTAACCAGTAACTCAACATCAGTCTAAGAACGTGCAGCTGGGAGAGGATTATTCTCTCAGGGCCTGGCCTTGCAGTCGCTTAAGTTGACAGAAGTTTTGCCATTGACTTTGAAGGAAGCAGATGATTGAAAAAGTAGCTTTGTAAAATGATTTTAGTGGCTTAAGTGGCAGTGGCACTTACCAGTCCTTTTCAGTTTTTGCAGCATTGCACATTTATGTAGGTTTTGTTTACAGTCAGTGCAAAATTTGAAGGCTGACTTGGCCGATGGACACTTTTTAGCCGGAAAGTTGGTAGGTATTTTTAAGGAAAATATTATCTATTGATAGGATTAACTGCGAAACAAAAAATTTGGTTTCAGATCAGCTCAAGCAAGACTTTAATCTTCCAGTCTTGGCCTGAATTTAATATGTAGCTCTTGCAATTTGAAAACAGTATTAATTAGGAGCTAGACTGTGATTTTTTTTTTTTAACAAGGTGAAAACTTACTCACCCAAGTAGGCTCACTGAAGCTATAGATACTGTTTTTGTTCTAACACCAGAAAGAGTAAGAGTTTCACATTGACTTGGTAATCCACGCCTATTTTACTACTTGTGTTTGTCTATTTTAAGAAGCATAACTTCTCTTACAAAGAACTGAAACATTTGTATTTCTCTGAAACTTTTGAGTGTAATGTGAATGAACATACTTAGCTTTGATTCCTGAAGTTTTGTACAGCTGCCATCCCATCACAAGCTTACTGACCCTGTATAAAATACATGCATGTCTATATTCAGCAAACTCTTCTCTTTTTATTAGTATGGATTGTGATCCTTCACCCAAAGTACTGCAAATGATACTATTGTTTGCTTTTGATCTTAATATTGTTTCTGTCTTTTATGTTTGTTATGTATATATGTTTTTGTAATCCTTGTCTTGAAGGAACCCCTTTTGTATTCTATTCTTGTATTTGGTTTACAATTAAATGCTGTTGCCAGTGATGATGATATAATTCCTGGGACAAGAAGAGTGATAGGTGGCCCTCATTCATTGAGGAAAAAATAAAAAGAGGTCTTTGGTCAATATAGACTCTATATATGGATATACTGCATAGATCTTGTTTTGAGATGATTTTGTGTGGCCTAGGACTGATCAGCACAGCTGGTCAGACTAATGAGCTTTTCTAAATCTAGCTATTTAAAAGTGTAAAACATCACCAGAGCGCTGATGGCTCTCCTTATATTCTGGAGTTATTGCTCCTTCAGTACAGGGTTGGCTTAAAGGCTAGCACTTGTGGTCGTAGGAAGCCTTGTAAATACTCATTTGTATGTGTTTTGGCATTGCTAGCCAGCTGCTGTAAGATGTTTTGGGGTCGCTTTAAAAAAGAAAACCACATGAGAATCATGTGATGTTACATTTGAAATTCACTTGCCTTCTGGATTCCTGAAATTAATGTTTTCAAGTTTCTCTCTGCAACCGAGAGAACAAAAAGCGTGTAGAGAAAAAATCAAAACTGAGCCTCATGTGATCACAAGAGTTTAGAAGATAGAGTTTTAAGACAAACATTGAAATATCAGCGATTTATTGATGCATTTATAGAAGTTGATAGCTCTATTAGCATGGCTTTGATTTCCTGTCGTCCTAGTGTAGTTTTTAGGTGTTCGATCAGTGCAAGTAACTAATATAATAAGCTCATTTTGGGTAATTATTTCTAGGCACAGTCACTGTCTTTGAAAATAAGCTGTCTTGCAGTGCAGAGTTCATTTCAGAATGTCATTGTGAGGCTTTATAGCTCGGGATCTTTAGTGGAGGATCTAGAAAGCTGTCCCTGGAATTCCCTGTGCACAGTACAGCGACTGGGGTTTCAGCTGACTTTGGTGCTGCTGTGTGACAACAGAGGGTGCTAGTGCCATCCCCGCGGAGTGCAGAAGGGTTTTCGGTGTTATAGAAAGCAGATTTCAGTATGAATTTATATGTGCACTATTACAGTAAGGAGACTGGAGGCTTTTATTAATGCAGAGAATTATGCATCATTCCATTAATGCAGAGAGGTCTGAAAGAGAGGTGTATTTCTGTTTGTGATGTGACGGAGTGTTTGGAGGTATAAAGTATGGAAAAAATACTTTACCTTGTTGTTACAAGAAGCTCCTGAGAATTGTTGACGACGATGGGGAAAGGTAGGTTACATGGTGAATTCAGTCCTGCAGTGGGGCTGTGTGGGAAGATACGTGGAGGTGTCCAAAAAGAGCATTGCAGTTTGGCATTTTAACTCTGCTGCTTCGAACAACTGTTACCTGGCTAGAAGTTGATCTTCATCCCAGCCAGCTGTAGAATCTCATGATTTTACAGAAGAGATTAGAGAGACAAACAGCAACTTGGCGTGCACCTAGCTGTAGATTACAGAGATTCCTTTTGCTGTAACAGTGAGCTGTAAAGACTTGGGCTAAAAGGGAATCTCTTGTGTTATCATCCAGCTGGGAATCTACTTGTAATTAAGTGGGTTTGTGGACAAAAGGTAATGAGTCATTTTAAATGAGGGAAAAAGTCTCCAAAATTTCCAAAGCTATGCATTTCTGCTCTAGCACAACTCTGATAACACTTTTATTATGAGAATCTTGTGTACACATCTCCTTAAATAGACCCAAAGAATAAATTCTAAAATTCAGATATAACTGAGGAGCCAATACTCATTTCAATTACCATACTTAGAAGGAAAGTCTTAGAATAGTGAGGAAAGACTAACCATATTGAAAACACTAAACACTAGCCCTTTTCCTGTAAGAAAGTTTGGATAGGGAGGGCCCCACTAACTAGTATTACATTATGTCTTTTTAAGTGCTGTAGTCTAAAATATTAAATGCAATTTGTTTTGAAGTATTACAGTAGAAGTGCTCAGTTTAGAAAAGCTGTAATTCCTGAGTTAGTGCCACCTGCTCTGTTAAGTGCTTTTGAGATCAATACAGGAAAGATATTAGTGTGTGAAGATACTTCGTCCTTTAGAACTGCTACTGGAAGATGATACATCTGAAGGATACTGGTAATGAGAGATGTGATTAGCAGCCCAATAAATAAGGGAAAGATCTCTCTTTGTCTTTTCCTCTAGTGTGTGTTAGCCTATCTACATTTCTGTTAGAGATTTATCCTGGTTATAAGATTTGACAAACTTGTCTCATCAACCGTCACCAAACTGTTGGTGATGATGATGTGGACCCTCTCATATTTGGGGAATCTGAGCATCTGTTCAGGATTCTGACCTCAATTTCTTGCTTGCTGTAGTTGTTGCATTCTGTCTCTTCTATGTTGTTGGGAAGTATTGCACCCGAAGTGTCAATATTTGTTACAGGCTATTGTTGTTACGGTCTGGGTTAGTTCTTGGTGCAGAGGTTGACTGAAGCCTCTGTTTTTCATTGAAAATGTTTTTTAATGTCTTTTATGGAAGTAGGCAGGTGAAATAAACCATAAATTCTGAACTTGGAACACAAAACCATGCATCTGCCCAGAACAAAAAGGTTGCTCAGGTATTTCCAGCTGGATGGATGAAGGGGCATGGCTAGATGAAGGTGAATGACTAGGGAAGAATGACAGTTCAAGTTGAGAAACAAAAGGCTTAGAGTGGGAAGCTACAATTCAAGTTACTCTTCCATAGTGGGATGTGTCTAAGCCCAAGGAGAGGTATGGAAAGGGGCCTTTAAGCTCTTCATGCATCTCTTCTCTCTGCACATGAAGAAGCAGAACTTCATATGTTCTTGTAGATGAATGGAAATACATCAGAGATGCCCACTGCCATTTGCAGCTTTTTTTTCTTTCTCTCTCATTTGATGCAGTCCATGCATGTTCACTTTATTTGGTCCAGGAGAGGTAACGCTTTGTTACCAGACCTCATTCCTTATTCTGAACCACATTAAGCAGGTGAGCACCTTGACTGCACTGCAAATCATGTTGTGACCTGCTGGTCAAGTCCACAGCAGTGCAGCACTTCCATTTAAATTGCTGTATGATCTGTGTGTTAAAATGCAGCTTCTCAGAAGTGAGCTAAGCCAAAGTTTA